CTGGCCTTTGGTTTAATGAGTGCTATATTTCATAAGTAGCCATGAGTATTTGGAACCCTGGTAGGCATCCTTGGGGCTCTCAATAGAATTTGGTAAATTTTCAGATTTTTTTATATAGTTATCAGCAGAGCTTGAATACCTGCCTATCCACTATAGCAAAGTAGGGAGTTTTAGAGGAAACGGAGTCTTTGTGGTGCTTATAAAATAATAGACGACCTATGAAAAACATTAATATACAGAACAACACTGCAGATACAACTATTGATGTAACCAAATGCAACCATGCAGAAAATTCTTATTAATGAGAATTGAATATATTCTTTCAAGTATGAGTCTTGGCAAGTGAGAAATCTTAAGTTCTAAGTGGCTTTGCCACTTGCAAACTATTAGCGACCAATTCTGATCACTGGAGTAAACATTCTTTTCATCTGTAGGTAGGGTTTAATCATCCCTCTCCTAACTATTTCACATGGTTGTCTGGAAAATCAAATGAGATGAACTATGTGGAAGTAATTTATAAGCCATAATGTGCCAAGCACATGAAATGTGGATTTATTATTTTGCAGAACCTCATTAGGACTCAGATACATAGAAAACTGGATAATCTGGAGTTACCACCTAGAGTCTTTCACACTTGATATAATTCTTTGTTGGCTGTTGATCATGGCTTTTGCTTCAGTTTTGACTCCTCTTCTGTCTCTCTCTTTTAAAAAAATTTTAAATTTATTTTTTAATTGAAAAATTAAAATTGTGTATATTTATGGTGTACAACATGATGTTTTGAAATATTTATATATTGTGGAATGGCTAAATCAGGCTAATTAACATACGTATTACCTCACATAATTATTATTTTTTGTGGTAAGAACACTTAAAATCTACTCATCAATTTTTAAGTATACAGTACATTGCTATTAACTACAGTCACCATGTTGTACCACAGATCTCTATAACTTATTCCTCTCATTTAAACTGAAATTTTGAATCCTTTGATCATCTTTCCAACCCCTCCACCCGACTCCTATTCTTTGCTTCTGAGTTCTACTTTTTTAGGTTCTACATATAAGCGAAATCATGTATTTGTCTTTCTGTGTCTGACATTTCACTTAACATGGTGTCCTCCAGGTTCATCCATGTTGCCACAAATGACAGGATTTCCTTCTTTTTAAAGGCCAAATAGTATTCCACTGTACATACGAGGGTACTTCAAAAAGTTCATGGAAAAATAGAATTAAATGTTGATAAGAATCTTTTTATGAACTTTTTGGAGTACCCTTGTATATACCACATTTTCTTCATTCATTCATATGGACACTTGAGTTGATTCCCTATCTCAGCTATTGTGAACAAAGCTGCAATAAAAAGGGAGTGCAGATATCTCTTCAATATACCGATTTCGTATCTTTTGAATATATACCTAGTAGTGGTATTGCTGGAACATATGGTAATTCTATTTTTAATTTTTTGAGGAATGCCCATGCTGTTATCCATAATTGCTGTGTTAATGTACATTCCCACCAACATTGTGCAAGTGTTCTTTTTTCTCCACATCCTCACCAACACTTGTTATCTTTTGCCTTTTTTATTACATTGTAACAGTTATGAAGTGGCATCTCACTGTGGTTTTAATTTGCACTTCCCTGATAATTGAAGAACACTTAAAATCTACTCATCAATTTTTAAGTATACAGTACATTGCTATTAACTACAGTCACCATGTTGTACCACAGATCTCTATAACTTATTCCTCTCATTTAAACTGAAATTTTGAATCCTTTGATCATCTTTCCAACCCCTCCACCCGACTCCTATTCTTTGCTTCTGAGTTCTACTTTTTTAGGTTCTACATATAAGCGAAATCATGTATTTGTCTTTCTGTGTCTGACATTTCACTTAACATGGTGTCCTCCAGGTTCATCCATGTTGCCACAAATGACAGGATTTCCTTCTTTTTAAAGGCCAAATAGTATTCCACTGTACATACGAGGGTACTTCAAAAAGTTCATGGAAAAATAGAATTAAATGTTGATAAGAATCTTTTTATGAACTTTTTGGAGTACCCTTGTATATACCACATTTTCTTCATTCATTCATATGGACACTTGAGTTGATTCCCTATCTCAGCTATTGTGAACAAAGCTGCAATAAAAAGGGAGTGCAGATATCTCTTCAATATACCGATTTCGTATCTTTTGAATATATACCTAGTAGTGGTATTGCTGGAACATATGGTAATTCTATTTTTAATTTTTTGAGGAATGCCCATGCTGTTATCCATAATTGCTGTGTTAATGTACATTCCCACCAACATTGTGCAAGTGTTCTTTTTTCTCCACATCCTCACCAACACTTGTTATCTTTTGCCTTTTTTATTACAGCCATTGTAACAGTTATGAAGTGGCATCTCACTGTGGTTTTAATTTGCACTTCCCTGATAATTGGTGATGTCAAGCAATTTTTCATATACCTGTTGGCCATTTGTATATCTTCTTTTGAGAATTGTCTATTCAGATCCTTTGCACATTTTTCAATCAGGTTATTTGTTCTTTTGCTATCCAGCATGATTTATTGAAAAGGCCATCTTTCCTTCAGTGAGTTGCTTTTTTACTTTTGTCAAAAATCAGTTGAGCATGTTTGGGTGGGTCAATGTTTGGGTTCTCTGTCTGTTCCATTGATCTGTCTATCCCTACATCTCTATCACACTGTCTTGGTTATTGCAGCTATATAGTAAGCCTTAATATCAGGTAGAGGGATTCATCCCACTATATTTTTATTTTTTCAGAAGTTTTTTAACTAATGTAAGGCCTGTGCCTTTTCATATAAATTTTAGAATGCCAATATATGAATGCATTGAAACTATACCCCATCAACATGAACAATAAAAAATAACAATAATTTAAGAAATTTTAGAATGCACTTATGTATGTCTACAAAAGACCTTGCTGAGCTTTTGATAGAAATCACAGTAAGGCTACAGAGAATTTTTGGGAGAATGGACATCTTCGCCATGTTGAATCTTCAAATCCATGAACACAGTATGTCTCTCCATTTATTTACGTCTTTGATTTCTTTCATCAGCATTTTGTAATTTTCAGGATACAGACACTGTACATGTTTCATTAGACTTAAACCTAAGTATTTCACTTATCTTGGAACAACTGTAAATGGTAATGTTACATTTTAATTAATGAGTGTTCTCTCAGAGACCCCCCAAAACAAAGCAAAGAAATGTAGGGTTAAAAAACAGACCTAAAAGATATCTGATCATAGTTGCTGTTTTATTTGATAATCTGCCTTTCTCTCTAGTGATGCTGGGGACCAATTATAACCACAGGCTTCATCTAGGAAACTTTGTGCTCATATTCTTTGATTCAGTGTCTGAGCTGAGTAATCTTGAGCTAGTTCTTTACTTCTCTGAGGTTGAATTTCCTCTTACTATAAAATAAAAATGATTTTTTTCTTTATGAATGCTGAGTAGATGCAATTAAATTAAATGAGATAATATATGTGAAAGTATCTGACACATAGTAAATGATCAAAAAATATGTTTTTCCTTCCTCCCTTCATTTTCCTTCCTTCCTTTTTCACTGTCTCTTTTCTTTCCTTCTTTTCTTTCTTTCCCTTCCTTTCTCTTCCCTTTCCATTCGTGATGCATGCCACCTGGCCAGTCCTTTATGAGGAGTGGGGTTACGGTTTGTTCCTATCCAGGGAGAGTTGCTAGTCTAACTACAGCTTGACTAGTTAAGTCAGAGGCTGACTCCTCCATGCAGCTTATCCCCTAGAACTCTCCCCCGTCCTCCACCGTACATCATTCTGCTGGATGATGTATTAATAAGGATTATTAAATATTGAAGTCTGTATATTTAAATTCATTATGCTAAGAGTTCAGTGAGTTTTGATGCTTGGTGAGCTCCCTTTCTGTGTTTTCATGAAAGAAAAGTGGTCTATGGTAGTTAGTTAGCATGAATGAAGAACCCTGCCTCTCATAGGCAACTGAAACCTCTCAGGCCTTGTTTGACTTAGATGGAAACCTCAGCAAAATGCAGAATGGTAGAGAAGCAAGCTTATAATTTGATGCAGAGACTGTCCTGAAGTTCTTAGGCCAAGCCCAGAGTAGTAGACTCAGATAAGAGTGGGTCAGTGGAGGTAGTCATCTTTTTTGTAGAATCCACCCTATGCCAGAGGACCACTCTGTGGAGGTCACAAAGAAATGAAGCAAAGGGAAGGAATTTCTTCTTTCAAAATTCAGATTAAATTGAAGTCCCTCTAGATCTGATAATCTCTTTTTCCTTCTCCCCCATTTGACAGGTGCTTACCCAGATAATTTGGAACAATTCATCCCTCTCATTCCCAGTAATAGCTATGGGCCAGATGGATGATTCAAGGGCTGGGTTAGGCCTCAAAAGCCCTAGAAACTGCAGGTTGGGGCATCTACTACAACATCCTAACTGTTGTCAGATGCCTCATTATCCTAACTAGTCAGAAGCCTGGAGAGATTACATTACCCTCTGCCCTTCCCCCACAGGTGTCAAATCAAATGAAAATGATAGATAAGAAAACATCCATGGCAACCCCAGCCTTGCAGAATGCCTCATGAGGAGAAGCTTTTTGTTCAAAATTTATTCATTTTGCATTAGAAATAAAAATGTCTCTTCGGAATTGTGTTGGCTTAGGATGCAAAGAGCACTAGAAATAAAACTTCAAACAGCTATTGCTCTTTCCTAATATATTTTAAATTTTTCTTCAAAGGCTGCTTGTCCCAGTGATCATTTCTGTCCTGGAGTTATCTCCTTCAGGTTCTTTTAGTGGAAGTCATGAGAGTGAAAGTGTCTAGAATAGAGGGTTAGTCCAGAGGGGTAAGTTGCCAAATTCCTGCCCAATGTCTGATGTACCCACCCTGAGCTCAACTCACCTGGATGCTTCTGGGGACAAATACCTAATGTAATGGGCCTGACCTCAGTGAGCTCACCCATGCCAATCTCTTTCTCTCCTTTCTCCAGCAAGGATTGAAAATAGTTCACCATGCAGAGAAGACACTGTCGAGCTTCTGCAAGTGGCAGAAGAGCATCAATCCCAAGAGTGACCTCAACCCTATCCATCATGATGTGGCCGTCCTTCTCACCAGGTACTCCAGAGACTCTGTGAAATCCAGGGGCAGCAAGACAGGGAGGGCTGGCAGGTGAAAGGCTTGCCAGGTATTTAAACTTATGAAATTCTCACTACTCTGCTGCTTTTGGTCATTTGTAAAATCAGCATCTGTGATCTAATTCACTCCTGACTTCCATACCAGGAGAGGGGGTAGGTTAGCAAACTTGCTAATATGACAAAGTTCTCCTTGTTAATAAACTGCATCTGTTGACAAAATGCAGACCTCTTTCCTATCCTAAAGATGATATCTTCTTTAAAACAGACTTCTTCATGCAGCTGTATAAAGAATCAGGAAACTTGTTTGCAGATCCTCATTAAAGACTCCTGTAACTCAACAAGTGGGATTTCCAATCCTTTATTTTATTTTTAAGTCTTCTCTAATTTAGAAACATGCAACCATCTCTAGATAATCAATCCTTTTGTCACAGTCTATAGTCTGCCTCGGGTCCTCTGAACTACTGAATGCAAAATCCCTGCCATAAGTGTAGTAATTGTTCTGTTTAGAGGCAGTGTCTGCTAAATGTTCAGCCTGAACCTCCATCTAATTCAATAAATACTTAATGAGCACCTGACATACCAGGCACTATTTTAATTTAGGCAAAAGAAAGGCTAACTTTTGAGTGTGGGGAAGTAAGTTCTCATTGAGCACCCTATACAGATCATCGAGAAAATCCAAAGGTGTATACTAGAGGCCCTTCGGCCACAAAGAGCCTCATGCACTGGAAGGCCCTCGGATGTTGCCCCTGTGGAGGAAGGCTGCCCCTGAACACTTTGCCCTGTCTCCTGTCCCTTTGGCAAGATCATCCCATTGCACAGAATGTCTACAAGGGATGATAACGAGCTCACAACTTATCCAAATGTCTGCCTTATCCTGATCTGAAACTCCAACCATCAGAATCACTCTTTTGAGTGAAATTATTAAAACCTGGTTAAATGCAAATATATTCCAAGGGAAGTCTTTGACATAAGCCTTTAACAGTAGGTTCATTAGGATCTGACATTCTGGGTGGGTCAGTAGCTCCCCTGGGGAATAGGTTGGTGTGGGTGTTAAAGGTAAACACAACGGATGTGGGGAGCCAGAAGGCAGCCTGGGGACACTGAGGAACTAAGCAAGAGGCCAAGTGAAGACTTCAGTCCAGGCAGGACACTTCTACAGGAAAGAATCCTGGAGTCAGGGAGCAGTGTGGGCCACTTGGCAGCTGGGTCTCAGGAAGTCTCTCCTTTCCCTGAGAGCAGAAGTAGATGTTCCTCTCATTCTCACATGAAAAAATGAGTGAATTAATGATAGCTGACATTTGCGGAGTGTTTGATATGGGCCAGGCACTATGCTATGTCTATTAGAACAATCACTGTTACATTTAATCCCCTCGATAACACTGGTAGTTGACTAGATGTTCCTCTCATTCTCACATGAAAAAATGAGTGAATTAATGATAGCTGACATTTGCGGAGTGTTTGATATGGGCCAGGCACTGTGCTATGTCTATTAGAACAATCACTGTTACATTTAATCCCCTCGATAACACTGGTAGTTGACTACTAGTAGTAATTCGTATTTTATAGATTGGGGAACAGGTTTGGTTATGTTCTTGTCCAAAATCTCATTGTTTTTAATGGGAATAGCTGGAACTTAATTTCAGGTAGTTTGACCCCAACATACATACTCTTAACTATTATCCATTAGGAATATGAAGGATTTGCTCTCCTTTTTTTCTTATTATGACCATTTTTCTTCCTTAGAACAGGGAGGAGTCTGATTCCATAAAAAATGTGATGAACCTCTACAGCTCCTAGACAGTGGAAAGCATTTCAAGTTCTAAAGAAGGATTTCTCAACCTCAGCACTACTGACATTTTGGACTGGATAATTCTTTGTTGTGGGGGGCTGTCCTGTGCATTATAATATATTTAGCAGGATCTCTGGCCTCTACCCATGAGATGCCAGTAGCATCTCCATGTTGCCAAAGGTCCCCTAGGAAGGGATGAAGAGCAAAATCACCCATCCCACCCCCACCCCCTTTGGAAACCGCTGGTCTGAAAAAATATGTGAGATCAGGGAGGGAGGGAGGTATGAGACTGAGCTTTGCCTCTTAAGGACAATCCTGAGATCCACATTAACAGAGTTCTCTGTAGAGTTGCATTCAGTAGAAGGTGGGTTTGGTTGGAACACATCCCATGTGTGTTCCACATGTGCAGCTAGTATGTTTTCTCTTGTATTATGGCCCCAATGCATGGTGGAGGTAGAACTAATCTCCTTTTGGAAGCTTAAGCTCCTTGCCTGCAAGAACTGTATTGCTACCATTCTTTTGTTATCCCCATTCTTCCTCTTTAGTGCTGGACACTTAGCAGGCACTCTATAACATTATTAGGTGATGGACCTGACCTCTTGCCATATCAAAATGAGAAAGTCAGTGGATTAGCAATGTGCACCATTCATCTTTTCCCAACAGCTCCATGCAGACCTGGGCTTTCTGAATGAAATAGTGACAAGCACATTCTGCAACAGGGGTGGGAATGTGTTTGATTGGTCCTCCTATAGACCCAGAAATTATTTAAATGATTGGGCTGTAAGATCTAGCTTTCCAACACTGAACCACCCAGCAACTGCTGCCATTGGTGAAAATGAGGATTCATGTCTTGGTGCATGTGCTGGGACTGTCCCAGCCATTGCCACCTGGAGAACTGAAAACTCACCAAGTTCTCAAAACCTACATCTTTTCTATGGCCAGGTACACAAAAAGCAGGGGACCTTTGTTGCTAGAAATTTTGCCCACACCACACAAATACCATGAGCTGAAGGTTTGTAACTACCTAAAGCTCAGAACCTCCTTGGCATTTGGGCCAGTCACTCAGCAAAGAGCTGTTCTTATACTGAAGAAAACCAAATGACTAATTAATGCCTCTTTCAAAAGTCTTGTCAGTGACTGAAAGAATCCCTATCGGGAGCACATTTTCATATTTGAAAGCTGTGATAGTATTTTCTGAGATCCTAGGAGTCTTTCCATTCTTTTTCTAGGGAAATAGTGAATTCCTGGTGAAAAGAGGATACAAGGTGTCAGGGGAGTGTGTGTGTCAGTGTATTTGTTCATTTCTGTTGCTTATAACAAAATACCTGGAACTGGGTGATTTATAAGAAAACAAAATTTATTGCTTACAGTTTCAGAGGCTAGGAAGTCCAAAACCCAGGGAATACATCTGGTGAGAGTCTTGGTGGTAGTGATAGTGACTCAGGGGTCTCACATTGCAAGACGGTGGAAGCAGAGAAAGAGATTCAGACTCTTCACACTGTCCTTTTAAAGCCCTCAGAACCACACACCTGACCACCATCCGTTCAGTACTGCAGGGTCCTACAATCCAATCACCTCTTCAAGGCCCCGCCTGTCAATTACCATAATAGGATTCCCCACCCTCAACAGTTACAGTGGGGATTAAGCCTCAGTGAGGCTGGGAGGCACCTGATCTACAGCAGTCAGTGTGTTGTGTCTGTTAGTCTTTGTGTGTGTTTTTGTGTGTCTGTGCATGCCTGTGTGTCTTGTGTGTGTGTCTGTGCCTGTGTGGGCACATATCCTCTCCCATACGCAATGCTGTTAGTGTATTGGGGCTGGATAGATAATTGATTTGATCTCTGGAAGGGTTGATGGAAACAATTGCCTTTTTCATGTCTGAGAAACAGTTCTCAGATGAGTTTTAAGCACAGACTTCAGAAAGACCAAAAACAAGTTTCATCTTTGAAAAACCCTGGTCACTGCTGATTGTTTCTTCCCCATTAAAAGGTTCAAATTAACTTTAATTTTTAATAAAATCTCCTCTTGTTGAGAAGATTTGGCCTCCTGAGATCAAGCACAAAACCAATTCAAAATAAAGCATTTGCCACATTTTTCTACATTTTTTGTTATTGAGATTCAATAAGCAGGAAGTAAAATCAGAGTAATCTTAGTAAATTTAAAATGCTCCATACATTCATATGGACTTTTTAAAAAAATTGTAAACATGCTTTATAGACCATATTTTTTTTTTTTTTTGTCTTTTTGTCTTTTTTTCTGTGTCCGGCAACGGATTGCAACCCTCAGTGTTGCCCCCATACCGGACCAGGGACCAGCAACGGGATCGCAAACCTCAGTGTTGCTCCCACGCCTCGCTCAGCCAGTGAGCGGGAACCGGTCTGTATGTNCCTGACCACCATCCGTTCAGTACTGCAGGGTCCTACAATCCAATCACCTCTTCAAGGCCCCACCTGTCAATTACCATAATAGGATTCCCCACCCTCAACAGTTACAGTGGGGATTAAGCCTCGGTGAGGCTGGGAGGCACCTGATCTACCCCAGTCAGTGTGTTGTGTCAGTCTTTGTGTGTGTTTTTGTGTCTGTGCATGCCTGTGTGTCTTGTGTGTGTGTCTGTGCCTGTGTGGGCACACATCCTCTCCCATACGCAATGTTAGTGTATTGGGGCTGGATAGACAATTGATTTGATCTCTGGAATGGTTGATGGAAACAATTGCCTTTTTCATGTCTGAGAAACAGTTCTCAGATGAGTTTTAAGCACAGACTTCAGAAAGACCAAAAACAAGTTTCATATTTGAAAAACCCTGGTCACTGCTGATTGTTTCTTCCTCATTAAAGGGTTCAAATTAACTTTAAGTTTTAATAAAATCTCCTCTTGTTGAGAAGATTTGGCCTCCTGAGATCAAGCACAAAAGCAATTCAAAATAAAGCATTTGCCACATTTTTCTACATTTTTTGTTATTGAGATTCAATAAGCAGGAAGTAAAATCAGAGTAATCTTAGTAATTTAAAATGCTCCATACATTCATATGGACTTTTAAAAAAAATTGTAAACATGCTTTATAGACCATATTGAATGTGATTTTACACCCAGTCTTTTTCCAGGAGGTTTTTTGAGATTACCACTGGGCCAGCCCCTTTATAGACCATATTGAATGTGATTTTACACCCAGTCTTTTTCCAGGAGGTTTTTTGAGATGTTTCTTCAGGAGCCTAAGCACCTGTTCTCCACCTGCAGAAAAGACATCTGTGCTGGCGTCAATCGCCCCTGCGAGACCCTGGGTCTGTCTCACCTGTCGGGAATGTGCCAGCCTCACCGGAGCTGTAACATCAATGAAGACTCTGGGCTCCCTCTGGCTTTCACAATCGCCCATGAGCTTGGACACAGGTAAAGGACCAAGGAAATTGAGATCTGCATGCCATGTTCCTGCAGCAATATTGGCAGAGAGAGCAGAAAGCACCTTAAACTGTGTACTTGTCCGCTTCTGTTGTTTATAACAAAATACAAGGAACTCGGTAATTTGTAAGAAAATGAAATTCATTTCATACAGTTTCAGAGGCTGGGAAGTACAAAGCCCAGAGAACACATCTGGTGAGGGTCTTCTTGGTGGTGGCTTTATAGCAATGCAGGTGTCTTACATGGCAGAAAATGGCAGAGCAGAGAGAGAGAGAGACTCTCACATGCTCTGCTTTTAAAGTCCTCGGAACCAGGCCCATGAACTAGGGCATGGCCCTTACAATCCAGTCAATCTCCCCAAGGCCCCACTGCTCAATCATCACAATAGGATTTCCCACCCTCTCAACACTGTCACAGTGGGGGCCAAGTTTCCAGTACCTGGAACTTTGGGAACACAAAGCTTCAGGGAGTTTGGAGTAGAGGAAGACATTCAATCCACAGTAAACTGGGTGCAAGAACATTTAGATTGCACTGTGGCCCGAGACTCACCCTCCTAAACCTCTGCTTCTTCTTCTGTAAAGTGGGAACAACACACTTCACAGCCTCTAATGTCTCCTCTGCCCTGACCACTCGTACCCATATATGTCACAGAACCAACAAAACCACTACAGTTCTCTGAATTAGAATGGGGTGAGGAGGGGCAAGAAGATGAGATTCAACTCAGTTGTTTCATTCAGGGATGACCCCTGATTAGTTCTTATGAAATGCTAATATTAATATCACTAAAAAGTCACAAAACCTAACATTTTTGCACCCTTTATGCCATTGTGCTTTTCATTGTGTCATGGAATCCTCTCAACAACATTATGAAATAGATACTATTATTAGCTCCATTTTACTTCTATGCATTAAAGGAGAACATCAAATAAATTAAAATTGAAAACTGCTATAAACATGAAAAGACCATCAAGCACTAGTTAACAGGATGTCCAAGTTGTTGCAAAAATGTGTGAATTTGATTAGAAGGATTCCTTAAAGACAGGTTGCAGAATCTTTGTTTGGAGGTATAATGAAGATTCTGGATTCACCAGGTATCAGAGGTTCCCATGGAGGAAAGATCTTAGCTTATTTGTAACTTCTTGTGTCAGCATATTTGCTAACCACAGATAAGAGAGCATCTTAATAACTGGGAACTTGGAATGGGAGCCACATAAACAGCTGAACTATATCCCCTGCCTGTCATATCCACCAGGCTGGAAGGAAGAACGCTGGGGCATAGTCTGAGTGCACAACTAGAAAAGGTGCAGTATTGGGAAGAGCCACAGAGACTGGATTGTTCCAGGCCTGGCCTCTCCAGCTGGACTTGCTCACCATTTTTCTTATATAACATCTGACCTTTTCAAAATAATTTCACCTGCTTTACAAAGCCAGAGCATTGTCTTGGGCAATAGAGAAAGTGAATGCTTGTTCTGGCTCTTCCATTGACCAATATTATGATCTTAGATAATTCCCTTCACTTCTCTACACCTGTTTCCTCCTCTGTAAAATGAATAGATTGAACTAGGCAATTTCTTAGGTACTGTGATCTATTGGATCCACACAAAAAAGTCCTGGAGATAAGTGTGATATATGTGTATTCTAGTATCCTTAGTTGTCAAAAATTCAAGGAAAGAGAAGTTAAGTGATTTGCCTATAATTAAATAATGATTAGGGACATGCGGGAGCTAGGACAGAGTGCTAATCTTGAAAAGGCCAGGCCATAGTTGTTGGCATATTGATAGTAAAACTTGGCAAATGAAAGTTATTCTTATGTGCAAACATACAGACGTCCCTGATCCTGATATGTGGAGGGACGTGGCTCCTGCAGCCTCCAGTCAAGTCATTCATGTCAACAGGACCTGCTAGACCAGCAATGCCAAGTGAATCTAAATGGGTCACACTGAGAAGTAACTGCTCAAGACCTTCCTAGCAGTGGTATACCCAAGCTAGAGTAAAGTTGAGAAAACTTAGCTTAATAAAAGACATTCTCAAATGCTCAATACCATGTTCAAAGAACAGATTCTTTATATCCTCAAGTAAAATCCAACCTTGTAAAGAGAAATATTTTAAGCAGGTCCTGCAAAAACAATATTGCTCCGAGTCCTTAGATGCAATCATTTTTGATGTAATCATTGACATAACTATCTGGTCATGGACACATCACCTTTGTGAGGAAGGCCACCCAAGTAAATGAAGCCAAGGGCAAGTATGATCCTCCTTTCAGATTTCAAAATTTCCCCAATAAAGAACCTTGTGGTGATGTCACTTCAGCACAATTTCCCTGAACACTTGAAAACAAGGAGTCATAATTGTTTAGTGGTTATCAGACATGCTGGGTTATTTAGCAGATAAACTAGGCCACTACCTGAATCAATTTTATATTGTAATAAGGTTAAACTGAATACTAGTTCAGAGCTATTTAAAGCATTTTGGAAATAGAACCGCTATAAGGATTGCTTATCCTGAGCTTTTGTTGCTGTTGTCACCATTGCTGTTCTGCTTCAAAGTATGCAGGAGAAAATGAGGATCTGGTGCTAAAGAAAATTTTTTTTAAATTGATTTAAGTAAATATCAGGTTCCTAAATATAAGAACTAAAGAACATTTAAGGCAGAACTAGAGTAGTTTTTTGTTTTTGTTTTTGTTTTAGTTTATTGAGAAGCTGACCTTGAGACAAGAATTTGCAAACAATTAGCTTATTTGAAAGGTAAAGGAAACATCACTAGGGAAGTAGAGTAGTGAGACAGGGAAGGGAAAGTAAACATAAATGGTTCATTATCTCAGCTTCCACTGTGGCAACCAGACCTTATTTCCATGGAAAAACTCTGAGAAACCATATACAACACACATTTCAGAGTTATCCCACACAAGTAAGGAAGAACTGGGTTATTTTATATACCAACACCCTGAAGTCATTGGTTGAAGGCTGTTCC